GGGGTAAGAGCAAGGAGAGGGAGAGGGAACGTGGGGAGAGAATGCATTTTTTAAAGCACTTCAGTCTGTGTTTACTATGCATGTATTTGGAGGAACCTCATTCCAGCAGTGCAGCCAACTGTCCCATCGGCAACAGCCGCACCCTTTGGATTACTTTCCACCCTGTCTTAATTTGGAATTCACACAGGGACCTTGGGATTGCTATTTGAAAGGTACTCATGCCGTTTCAGGCCTGTGTACTGTACATTTGCAACCTGCTAAAGTCAGAATATATATATATTAAAAGTGCAGTAAAGAGGGAGATGACCTGCTCATCAGCTTTTCTGTTTTTCAGGTATTTATTTTCCTCCCCTTGTAAAAAGAAAAATCTGGTTTATATAATAGCAGAGTTAAACATGCTATAAGAAAACCTTGCCTAAAACTATAAATCCTTCCTGGTGGAGAAGATGTGATTTTTGTTATCACGTGGAAGAAAAGATGAGCCAGCTCTGGGCTTTATTTTAGCCTCTCCTCCAGAGATAATTCCTTGACTAATTCTTTTTATATCAGTTTGCTGAGAAAAGCTGCAAACCCAAGGGTTTGGTTTGCACAGGGCCTGATGAGGTTCCAGGGTGGGGTCATCATTCCCACTGCCTCTGTCTTCTTCCCAAGTGCCCACGGGCCAGGCCAGGCGGGGTCACCAGCTTGCTTCCTCCTCAGCCGCCTGCACCCGGCTGTCACCCAGTGGTTCAGAAGTGAGAACAGGCATCCAAGCACTGTCATCCTCTTACTGAGCATGGCTCTTAAGGTTCTGATGGACTTCAAGGGAAGATGCATTGCTGAAGGGTACGAGTGGAGCAGCTTGGTGCTCACAGACGCTGGCATCTTGGGACCTTTTCCAAGACGTTTCAGGCCTTGTTCTCCGGCTTGTTTAAGGGCAGAGAATATGGTTGCAAAGGAAATCAAAGCCTGATGTGGAGAAACGAAACATGAGACCTACTGACTTTTTAAAAACATTTTAAATCACATTCTCTAAGGTTTCATTTTATACTGAAGGCAGCTGTAATAAGTTTTGGAAGATGGTGTAAGGTTTCTATTACAGAGCGATCCTGCTTGCAATTTTTGTACCAAAAGTGAGAAAGGGCGGAGGGGGGGTGGGGGTGGTTAAGAGCTTATTTTGTATAAGGTGAGAAAATTTGAAAAGATGAATTCAAGACTGTAAGCAGGTAACATTTGTTATGCTGTAATTTGCAAATGCATTAACATTAAACCATTGCAAAAGTTGTGTGTGTGTGTGTGGAATAGCAGTGGAATAACTTAATAACAGGAGCTCAGCAGCACTCTGACCACAAGTAAAACAAGACTGCAGCTCTGTAGTGGGCCCTGCCAGTGTTGTTATGCTGTAATTTGCAAATGCATTAACATTAAACCATTGCAAAAGTTGTGTGTGTGTGTGTATGTGAGAATAGTCCAGATAGCAGTGGAATAACTTAATAACAGGAGCTCAGCAGCACTCTGACCACAAGTAAAACAAGACTGCAGCTCTGTAGTGGGCCCTGCCAGTGTTTCCTCAGTGACTAAATTCCCTGTCGAAGGCTGGCGCAGGCCAGAGATGTCGGGCTGTATGAAAGCACCCATTGTTCATGGGGCATCATTATTTGGTATTACATGCACAATGTTTGCTTGTGAAACGATTTATTAGAAACAAGTATGTTTAAGAAAGAGGGCTTGGTTTGGAATTCGGTTGATCTGGCTTATGACATTTAAGATTTTATAGAACCTTTGTTTCTAAGAATAGACATTTAGGCCCACTGTAAATATTTATCTTACATATGCACACATACACAAACACACACGTGAGTGCAAAACTGGAAAACCAAGCCAGGGAATGAATTGATACTTAAAGTTCACTTTTCTGGGCAGGCCCGGTGGCGCACTGGAGAGTGCGCTGCTTGGGAGCACGGCGGCGCTCCCACCGAGGGTTCGGATCCCATGTGGAGACCGGTTCCCGCTCACTGGCTGAGCGCGGTGCGGGCGCAACACTGAGGGTTGCGATCCCTTTGCCGGTCCCCGGTGCAGGCGTGACACCGAGGGTTGTGATCCCGTTACCGGTCAGTAAAAAAGACAAAAAGGGAAAAAAAAAAAATAAATAAAGTTCACTTTTCTGTGGGAAGGAGTAAACCGTCTCCATATTTGATAGGTACACAGGAGCATATTTTGTGACTTGGCTGGCCATCTCCAGCGCAGAGGACAGCTTCCTCTCATGCTGTGGTCTCTTGGTAGGGGTCTGGTAAGGAGAGAGAAGAGTGTGAAGATAGTGAGGTTTTTTTGTTTCGGTCATATGATTTTGGAGTATTTGTATTTATGGTGATATCCAGTGTGGTTGTTTTTTTGGTGGCTGGCCAGTAAGGTGAACCGAACCTGTGACCTTGGTGTTACAAGGCTGTGCTCTAACCAGCTGAGCTTACCGGCCAGCCGAGAACAGTGCGTATGTGGACTTCAGTCTGTCCTTCCCACATGGATGGGGCCAGCCAGGATTAAACCAAGTTTCATGTGATATTTTCTGAAGGGAACCAACTTTGAGATTTTCTGTCCACAAAAACTAGAAGTCTTTACTTCTGGTTCTTGGCTCTGTCTACGTGGGTGGTATTGGGGCAAATGAATAACTTCTTTGGGGCTTTGAAATCCTTATCTTTATAATGTGAAAATGTAGGTGTCTGGGAAGTGATGGGAGATTCTGGAATGAAATGTGCTAAGGATAACTAACCACAGGCACTTTTCTTTTTAAAAAGTTTTTAGAGGCCAACAATAGGCTTTGCAGTAAAATCAATTTGTGCATGGTCTGGCTCTTGTCCAGCAAATTCCACTAAGTGATATTTTTATCTGAAATTATCTGAAAGGCCCCAATGTAGAAAGGCTTAGGTATCTATCATTCTAATTTGCTGTTTCCAGCCCAGGGGCTGGGGATTCCCTGGTGCAGGGTGCAGACATCCTTGGTGTGTTGGGCTGGTTAGGATCTCGCTGGAGGTTAAAGGCAGAGTTACCCCTAGTTGGGGGCAGAGGAGACGGAAGGTGGCTGGTTGTGCAGGCATGTGGAGATGGAGCTGTATTTGTGAGTGGACCGAATTGGGTTTTATGACTTTTGACAGAGCGGCCATGTAGGAAGGTTCCAGTAAGTTTGTAATTATAGTGCTTTAGTGGACAAGATCACACAACTTACTTTATTTTATTTTAGGTTATTTTACTGTTTTAAGAACACTTAATATGAGATCTACCGTCTGAACAAATTTTTAAGTGTGCAGTGTGGTATTGTTGACCATAGGTACAATGTCATACATTCATCTTGCTTCACTGAAACTTTATGGTCCTTCATCAGCAACTCTCCATTAGCCCCTAGCAACCACCTTTCCACTCTTGATTCTATGAGTTTAACAAATTTAGATACCTCATACACGTGGAATCATGCAGTATTTGTCTTTCTGTGACTTCCTATTTCACTTAACCTAACGTTGTCTCTCACATTGCAAGATTTCCTTCTTTTTTGAAACTGAATAGTATTCCATTGTATGTACCGATCACATTTTTATTTTATCCATTCATCTGTTGATGGAGATTGAAGCTGTTTCTGTATCTTTGCTGTTGTGAATAGTGCTGCAGTGAACATAGGAGTGGAGGTCCTGATTTCAGTTCTTTTGGATAAATACCTAGACGTGGGATGGCTGGATCACATGGTAGTTCTATTTTTAATTTTTTGTGGAACTTGAATACTGTCTTTCATAATGGCTGCACCATTTTGCATTCCCACCAACAATGTACAAGGGTTCCAATTTCTCCACCTCCTTGCCAACATTTTTCTTTTTCTTTTTTTTTTTTTTTTGATAATAGCCATCCTGTCTGGTATGAGGTAATATCTCATTGTGGTTTGGATTTGCATTTCCCTGATGTTTAGTGATGCTGATCATCTTTTCATATACCTGTTGGCCATTTGTATGTCGTCTTTGGAGAAATGTCTTTCGAAGTCCTTAGCCTATTTTTTAATTGGGTGTTACTTGATTCTTGAGGAACCTGGTGTGCAGTTGCTAGCATACCTTGAGTTGGTTGTCTCTACAAGATTTCTGCAGACCACCTCTTAACTGGAGAGGAACTTTTCCAGGCATAAAACAAGAAGGGATGTCTTTCACTGGGAACTTTATCCCTAGGGAAAAAGAGGCAAATGAAGTGAGAGCTAGGAAGTAATTGTGGGCATACCCTCTCCAGAGCTCCTTTATGATAGTCTAAAACATAGCCAGGATTGGGCAAGTGGCATCTTATGTTTCTTTCAGTGCCACGTCTGAATAAGCTGAGGAATGTCCACTAGTACCTGGCATGCAGTAGCACTTAATATTTATCAAAGAATTGAGTGGGTGAGTAAAGAATGAATGAATGTAGTAAATTCTGCAGCAAAGAAATGAGTCTAGTTGTTAGTTTGGTCCATTCATAACTTAGGGCTTTAGCTTTTAGTTTACTTTTAAAAACAAGGGATGGAAGTGTTCTCAGAGCATCTTAGAAATGCATTGGGAGACACTGTGCCTATCGGAGTCATTTTTGGTCTTCAGGATGACCTTAAAGTGAGTCTTACACTTGCCCGTGACATTAAGGCTGTGGTCAAGGTGAGTTTTGGCAATTATCCCAATGCAGTAAGTGAAGAACCACGTTGCCCTTGCCATTTGCTTTTAGATTGTCAAAGTGTAATCTTTCTCATTATTCAGTAGGTGGCCATGGATAGCCAGTAACTTGGGACACAATAAGTTCTTTTCTCTGCTTTCTAAATAAGTGTTCTTTTTACAAGGGTCGTGCTCCGGCAGTCTCCTTTGAAGTCGTTTTTGTTATGCACAGGGTTGTAGTGTTATTCCAAAGACATCAGCCAGCAGATTTGAGGCCCTTTTGGCTTGAGTTCTCTGGCAACCTCTGGACAACACAGCTTACTTATTGGTCTCTCTTGCTCCCGTCCCTGCTCCTCCTTTCTTCCCTGTCTCCATCAGAGCGATCGCCACACCGGCCCATCCTCCAAGCTGGCCTGCCAGCAAATGCCTCCACAGTCGTCGGTGGCGATGTGGAGTTTGTCTGCAAAGTTTACAGCGATGCCCAGCCCCACATCCAGTGGATCAAGCACGTCGAAAAGAATGGCAGCAAATACGGGCCCGATGGGCTGCCCTACCTCAAGGTTCTGAAGGTGAGGACTTTCTGAATCCAAAGGGACCCACTGTTGGGATTTCTTTATGGGTTTGGCCACACGTTTTTTGATTTCCTGTTGGATTTGAGACATGAGTCTTTTTTTTCTGACCAGCCAGTGGATGGTTAAAGAATTAGCAGATTATCAGGCTTGCTAGTAAAATTTCAGAAGGGAGCTGTGGAGCAGGGAAAGAATAATTCAGCTATTTATCAGCCGTGAGATCTTAGATGAGACATGTAGGCTTAGCTACACATCTATAAAAATGGGGATCATGATACTGTCTCCCCTACAGGGCGGTTGTGCAAAGTACATGGGCTGGAAAAGACAGAAAGAGGTTGGTAAGCTCAAGGCATGGTACCAGTGTTTACTGTTACTCTGATATTGTTTTCTATTCATATGACATTAGGATCAGATTTAGTGTCCACCTTCTAGAAGCAATTTAGTTCCTCCCCTCACCCAAATCCTTTAGCCTTTGAAATCCATTCACATGTGGTTTAGACAGTAAACTTTAGGAAACATTTCTGTGCCAGCAAAATGTCGAACAGGGACAATTTCTTTTCCCTTGTATTTCTAGTTTTGTTCCTTGCAAGTCCCCATTGTCATAGCATCAGCCTCTTTATTTTTCGATCTCGCTTGCTCACCAGGATGGTGACCTGAAGCAGCAGCTAAGTCTGTGCAGCTAGTTCTTAGCGCACCGCCCACCATATCTCCCACATTTAGTTGCTCATAGAGAATGCCCTTAAAAAAACATTCTTCCAGTACAATCATAAGTGGCTCAACTAAGAACTCTCAACCGGTGAGGTGTTCTCTCTAGCTAATAATTCCAAGGACCAAAAAAGCTGGGAAAAAGATGACCAACCTGGAGAACTGCTAACCCATTCTACTAACTATTGGTCACACCCTTCTCCACCAGGTCACTGCCATTGTCTGCCACCAGACTTATTTTGTTCTTCCTAAACCCACAGCCCTTTAATGCTGCTGTTTAATTATTATAAATAATGAATTATTTTTGTGGTGTGTTGGTGGTGGGACCATAGACGGTGCTAAGTCCTTCCTGGTTGGCCGTTATATTGTTCTCCTGTGTCTGTTCTAGCACTCGGGGATAAATAGTTCCAATGCAGAAGTGCTGGCTCTGTTCAATGTGACTGAGGCGGATGCCGGGGAATATATATGTAAGGTCTCCAATTATATAGGGCAGGCTAACCAGTCTGCCTGGCTCACTGTCCTGCCCAAACAGCAAGGTAACAACGTTTCTGTTTTTGTTCTTGTTTTTTTTTTAAAAAAAAAAAAGAAAGCTCGACATAGAAGCTGAAAAGACTTGGTGCTTTGGGAGACTGCAGGCAGCTTATAGGATAACTCTTGCAGCCTTGGTATATTTATAATGGTCTTTCTTTGGTGGTGCAGCTGGTTTGATGCCAGCAGCCATGGAAAAATGCCCACAATGTTCAAAGTGCTTGCTCTAATTTCTTCTAAAGATTATCCTCCACCCCCACCCAGTTTTTAAGTTGTTCCTTCTGGTTTATCTTGTTTGGGCTGCACATTTCCCATCATTACTGCACATTAACATCATTTTAAACACACACCTGCATGTCTGTTGAATTTGTGGCATTTGAATATCAGCAGAATCTATATTTCCTTCTACTCCAGGTTTTTAGAGAAATACTGACATGATATAATTTGTTCAACAAAACATAATTTCTTTGGTTGTGTAACTGATCCATATGAAATACCTTCTTTGACCTTGCTACCCTGAATCTGAGGGTAGTTCGTCTTACTGAATGAAGATACTGCTGGATGCTATTAAAAGCAGAAGGTTGACTTTTTCAGTTTGTCATGACTCACATTCAAATGTTTATATTAAAAAAGAAAAAAAAAAGCCCACTCTTTTTGTTACCAAGATCATGCTTTCTTCCAATTCTATGTAAAGCAAGATGGTTTTGTAGAAGTAAAAATAACCAGAGCCTGGTAACCAAGACAACCATCCACCCTGGTTAGTTCCCATGGGGCCAGGAGGACGTGCGAGGTGTCCACCCGGGATATCTTCAGTGTTTTGTTTTATGACACAGCACTTTAGGTAGAACTATTCTCTTCTCAAGGCGGGAGTCTGCAGCCCACAGGACCAGAACCCAGCTTGGCCTTTTGGGTGCTATACATTTGAAAAGCACCCTTATGGTGTCCACCCGGGATATCTTCAGTGTTTTGTTTTATGACACAGCACTTTAGGTAGAACTATCCTCTTCTCAAGGCGGGAGTCTGCAGCCCACAGGACCAGAACCCAGCTTGGCCTTTTGGGTGCTATACATTTGAAAAGCACCCTTATATCCAAACCAAAGCCCAGGCCAGAAGAATGGACCTCTGTGGGTTGATTTTTCCATGCGTTTGATTGCATGCATGTCTAGGTGGTGAAGCTGGTGTGGTGATGGGCCTGTGGAGGTGAGCTGGTCAGTGTCGCTCAGTGTCTCTCGGTTGTGGGCTTTGTGGATGGGCTGCAGTCGGAATCTCCCAGGGCCGGCACCTGCTGGAGCCCCCGGTGCAACGCCTCGTGGTTCCATGGCCCCCTCCACAATCATTCCTGTGTCGTCTAGCCTTTTCTCTTGCTTCCCTTGTTTTCTAGGCTGCCGGTGTTAACACCACGGACAAAGAGATTGAGGTTCTCTATATTCGGAATGTAACTTTTGAGGATGCTGGGGAATATACGTGCTTGGCGGGTAATTCTATTGGGATATCCTTTCACTCTGCATGGTTGACAGTTCTGCCAGGTATATACTGCTCTTTTCTCTCCGTGGTTTTTTTCCTTTTCTTGGTCGATTGCTATAAAATTAACACAGCTTCTGTTCTTAGAAATGGCCCCTTTTATCCTTGCATAAAGATCTAAAAAATGTTAAAAATTATCCCCCAGGGATAAGAAAGTTGCCTTGGAAATTCACTTACCATAAGATCCCACACTCACATTTATGATCAAGTAAAATTTCACCCTTAAAACCCAAAGGGATCTTATATTTTTAGTGAGTCAATATGTCAATTAGCCCATCCCCCTTTCTCTTAAGGAAGAAGTTGAAATTACTTGTAAAATTCAAAGTAATTTTTTTTCTTATTTCAAATTCCATTTTGCTAAAATTCCATTTGTGTTTTTTATTAATTGAGCCCCACTTTGTATTTTAATGAGATGTAAATAGATGGATATATATTGAGGTGCCAGGGAGAAGCACCTCCGAATGCAGGGTGCACAGAAGCAGTGTGTTACCTACCTCGGGAATTGGTGGTTCGGTGCATGTTGCATTAGAATGGACTGTCAGTTTGCTTTTACTGCAAAGCATGCTCCTGCTCTTGGGCTTGATGTTATTTCTGCCCTACGTAGAAATAAACATCCGTAAAGCCCTGCTGCCTGAATTGAATCTTTAACCAATGTCTTTATTGTAGTTAAACTTTCCTGATGCATCTGCCTCTCTGTTATTTCTTTTGTGCAGCTGCATAGACTGACTTGCTAGCTCATAATGTTCCACTCCAGTTATTTCTTATTTTTAGAGTATGGTGCCTACCTGCATGCTTATTTTACATCTAGTAAAAATAAATTGATCATTTCATTTTGTGCTGTGCTGCTGAGAGTTTTGACTATCTCGCAAGTATTTTTCTGATTAAAATATGTAAGCTTTAAATAATACCATTGCATCCATTTTTCCTGTTGTTGTGAATCTTTGCTTTGAAACAATGAGATGCCTCTTTTGTTGAGCTTGCTTTTATGTGCAGCACTGCATTCTGCGAGTGCCTAATTGGCACTTCTTAACCAATTTGCCTGACAGTGTTAGCACATTAACTAAGAATGCAGTTTAAGAAAAATGCTATTTGGAAATACACTGCTCGTAGGTTGACCATTGAGGACTAAGGAAGGAGCAGACATTACTGGAAATTGATATAAGGATGTTGATATAAAAATGTGCTAAATTAAGTTATTATATGTGTACTCACATGCAATACCATCTCTGTTTTTTCTTTAAAAGTTATAATGACATATCAGTATAACCAGATACACAAAAATTTAAATGGTTATTAAATACTACATGCTTTATATATTATGGACATAATGATTCCACATTATAACCAATTCAGTTTTTATATTAAATGCATTTTTAATATTTAATTTATTTAATTAATAACTTATTTAATTGAATAACATGCTGGACTATATCAAGGAACTCACTGAAACTTTTTCGGATCAACCTACTAGTGAATATTTATTTCATATGGAACTGTATTCATCTGGGGGTAAATTACCTTGTCGAGTCTTCCTTTAGAAGAGCCCATCCAAATAAGACTGAAACATTGTCACTGTCTCCTTAGAATCAAAAATGGGCATTGTTTATATTTTAAGAATTTTAAATGTGGTTTGCATTGAGAGACCATCATGAAAGACAGTCCTTTCATTTTGGGTGTGGTTGGTTGTCCTACTATGCCCAAATGTCTACCAGAATGTGGTCTTGCAGCCTTTGTGACTTGGTAGCAATCACGCACTGGATCGCAGGTGCTCACAGAGGCTGAGACAGTGACCACCTGGGCTCTGGTGGTAAAGGGAGAGGCACAGGCAGGAGGCACTTGGCAGGCCTGTGGTCCGTGCCATTCTGCAGCATTCAGTTACTGGGAAGCCCATCTTGCCTTGTGAATGGTCGCTGCCTTTTGATCCCTTCAGTTATGTTATGATGCATCAATCTGGTGTCCTAACTTTGTGGCTTGCTTATCTATCCCCTCTCCCCCACCACTGTGATCTGCAATCTAGCTCCTGTAAGAGAAAAGGAGATTACAGCTTCCCCAGACTACCTGGAGATAGCCATTTACTGCATAGGGGTCTTCTTAATCGCCTGTATGGTGGTGACAGTCATCTTGTGCCGAATGAAGACCACGACCAAGAAGCCCGACTTCAGCAGCCAGCCAGCTGTGCACAAGCTGACCAAGCGCATCCCCCTGCGGAGACAGGTAACAGAAAGTAGATAAAGAGTTTAAAGAAATTTACTACCCCCCCATGACCCAGCCAGTTCTTGGATCTTGTCCTCTGCTTTGAAACCATCTACTTCTGTGGGCTTTGATGTGTGAGTGTTTCCAACGTGCTGCTTGGTGGTCGTCCAATTAGTGTTTGGAGCTTTGAGAGTCAAGTTCTGGTACATCACTGGGATGGCTGGAGTCTAGTACGAAGGGCAAGAAAGGACAGTAGTGTGGGAATCAGAGAGCCAGTCAGCAGGGTTGGAAGTAACTCTGCAGGCAATTCCCTGTGTGTGTGTTTGAGACTCAAGTACAGTGGTCTCTTCACACTTTTGTCTCCTATGATCTTGTGCTTTTTTTTGAGACAGGCATGAATATTTGGATGGGCCTTGTGCTACTAGGAGGAAAGAGATTCTGTTTTTCTTGATTTATTTTTTTAAGTCAGAATCAGAAAACGACCCCTTTGGGGGTGCGTCTGAACTACTGCTTGATTTAAACTGGTCCATGATGTCTTTCTAAACTGAATTTTGGCTTAACTCCTGTGGTTCTTAAAATAGAATTTTATGCATATATGATGTTATTTTTAGTAGTTCATGTGTGGCCATGGATTTGGTGGTAGAGTGATTTTTATCTGGAACAGGCAACAGATTGTTTTTAACCTCAAACTTGGTCTTTGGTGGCAGTTAACTTTCTGCTTCATGTGCCTGCTGATTGGCTTACTTTTGCTTTGGGGGAGATGGGGCGAGATAGAGCCTTCACCTCTTCCATAAACCAAAGCTCTGAAAGGCGGGTGGGACAGGAAGTGCTTCAGATCTTTTCTGCCTGTTCTCGAAGATGTAAGAAGGCAGATGTGAATGCAAGTGTTTACAAAAGTATTTGGAACTTGATTCCAATACAGAGGTGTGTGTGTGTGTGTGTGTGTGTGTGTGTGTGTGTGTGTGTATTTTTTTTTAATTGCAAGTAAAACTAACTCACAGGGTCTATTTCAGTGTGCATTTTAGTGGAATTTATGAGGCGCTCGTTAAAATTGCAGATTGCTTAGTCTTAGCCCCAGAGATTATTCTTCAGTAGACCCTTGGACAAGACCAGGGACCTGCATTTAAACTAATCCCCACGTGATTCTAAAATGCACTTTGAGAAATTCTGGGTTGATGCCAGCCCTGCCTCTCCTGGGACTTCAGGTAGTGGTGACATTTTCTGGAGCAGGCATTTGGAAAGGATTAGGAACAAGTTGGTCAGCAGTGGTTTTGGCATGGATCTGGCTGGCTGTTCTCAATCCAGCTCCAAACTCTGGGCTGAATGGGTCCTTGTTAGCTTCTTTGAAGCCATGTTTCAAGCAGGTCTTTCTTCATGGAGGCTGAGGATGGAATTCAGAATGTGTGTCAAGTACAGGCAAATGACCAAATTGTGCTAAGAGCAAGGAAAAAAGGGGGCCCATTGGGTCACTTCTGCTAGCTACCAGGAATACTGGTGTTATTTTGAGTGGCACCTCTGTCATTCTTGGGGCCAGGAAAACAATGATGGAGCCAGTTGCCTGAGAGTCCAGTCCTAAGACAGATAGTGCTGTGACCTCCAGGTAGCCACCCCTCTCCCACCCTCCCTCATCAGGTACCGGCGTGGGCCATTCTTAGAGCCATAATCTTCAGGATCTGGCTTAGAGAGTTGAAAAAAGGGAGTGGTGTTCCCATCGCTGTTATTTTTTTCCTAACAGGGAAAAATGCTACCTTCAGAAGGAAACCTGTAATTTGACATCTTTTTTCTGCACCTGTTACAATGCTTTTTTTTATACTTAAAAGAGGCAGATGCCCTTAAAATCTCTTTGACTCAACCCTTTCTCTCTGGCCATCTGGATTCTCTTCACTGACCGTCTCCACCCAAGCTGGTCATTTTTCTCATATTCCCTGTATAACCGAGGGAAGCTTAGGGAACATTCCTCTTTTTCTTCTCTCCTTCTTTTTATTCGTCATAATTTACTACGTGCTTGGTCTAAACCAGTTCCCATGTAAGACACGGGCTGTCATATTCGCCAGTGGCTCCAAGATTATTTAGGAACCTTTATCTGAAAAGTAATTGCCTGTGTTTCAGTACAGTCAGGGAGTATGAGAGAGGATGAGGAAAGTGTGCAAATACCAGTTTCCCTGGAAAAATAAATCTCTGGAAGTAGAATCTATTTGGGGGACCGTTGACACACCTTGGCTATTTACATATGTGAAAATGGGATGTGTTATCAGTTCTTAAAGAATGTTTCCCAGTACGCACGGGCCCTTTGGTGGAGGAGGAGATGCCTTTCGGGTATCTGGATAAAAGAGGGTTATTGGATTGTCACTGGAATGAAGAGCCCAGAAAGGCCCGTAGATATGTTGATGACAGAGTGAATACCACAGGGATGCCAAGAATGCCTGTATCTGGTGACAGGTGAACCTGCAATCGATCAGATGTCTCAAAGACGGGTTGTTCCTAGGCATTTACGAGGCCACTTCTCGTTCTGCTCTGCGTTGGCCCAACCTCCTCTGTGACACAGGTGGCACTCAGTAGCGTCACGGTGACCTGGCCCCTCCCCCCTCCCCCAGCACGCACACACACAACATCTTACTCACTCCCTCCCTCCATTATTGGGCTCTTTTTAGAACAAGAAAAGTTCCTTTTTTGATCCTTTCGTGAACTTTTCCTTTTTGGCATTTACTAACTTACTGGTGTAAGACAGACATAACAGTTTATGTATTTTTTTGGAGACAAAAATATTTTTTTCCTGTACCAAAGAAATTTCTTGTGATCATTTCCCAGTAACTATAAATTTTTTGAGGCTTTTTATGCACTTTGATACTTGAGGAAAGAGGAGCAGCTTTTTGGTGGGGGGAGGTGGTAGCAGGTGGCATCTCCGTGTTTCCTTGGATGGGGGCCCATCCCACATTCAGTGTCAGGGCTTGGACACCGTCCACGCACGTGCTCACCTGCTCCTACTCCTTTGGTTCTCAGTGTGTTAAACAGGACCAGCAAGAGCAATCCAGAGAGGAGTGTCTTTGTGAGCTTGGTTCTTGCACAGATCTGCTGGACAGCTGGTGGCCGTTGTGAAGCAGCCTTTGCATATCCATGCATCAAAGGGAGGGCTTCACTGTCTGTGTTTTCCACAAATCAGTTGGGCAGTGGGGGTGGGAGTGGGAGTGAGCATGAAGGTAACCGAGTGTTGTGCTGGAGGCAGGCTGGGTTTGCTGAATTGGTTTTTCAGTGAGGACAGCAGCTTCTTCCTCTGGAGCCAGAAGCTTCCACAGAGCAGGTTGGAGATGTAACCATCTCATGGTCGGCTCTGTGCAGCTAACAATGTCTCCTATACAGTTCACACGCTCTGCTGCCGCCATCCGTGGCTCACGGTGCTTTCTCAGGCTGCTGTTTCTCCTTTTCACCTGCTGCTACAGGTAGACTGAAAACCAGAGAAAAATCAAGGGCGATCAAGGTCATTTTTTGTAACAGGAACTTTGAGATAAATGGCATGTTCCTGGGGACATGACGAATATGATGAAGATGAAAGGAGGAGCAGCATGTGAGTCCTGAGCCACTTCTCAGGGCTGCGTATTAATAGTCCTTAAACATACTGAGTTCCGTGAAGGGCAGGTCTACTTCTAGAAGCTTCTTTACTACCTGGCATCTCAGCAGCAGGATCTCAGAATACTCAAGTAGTCTGGTGAAACCTCGCTGGGTCCAGAAACATTTGGGTAATTAGAATGGTCCTGAGTGACTGAATGGGACCCCTGGGGTGGGCGCCTCAGCCTCCACGCACCTTTCTTTTCTCTCAGCACCAGGGTCTGACCTGGATTTGGCTGGTGCGTCTTCTGAGTAGAACCAGCTCGTCCGGGACTGGCACCATCCCGGGGAGAGGTTGGGGGAGGTGGAGACTTGGTAAAGGAGAAAAGTGTCAAGGTCTGACCTGGATTTGGCTGGTGCGTCTTCTGAGTAGAACCAGCTCGTCCGGGACTGGCACATCATTACTCACCGTCCCGGGGAGAGGTTGGGGGAGGTGGAGACTTGGTAAAGGAGAAAAGTGTCAGCTAAACTACTTCGCCTAATTACCTACATTTTGTTATGGAGGGGAAAAAATAATCCGACTTCAGAAACCCCTTGTATCTTTATTTCAGCTCCCGGGGCTTGAAGTGGTGTGGGCAGGGCTTGTAGCAGCAGCATGTTAACTCCGGGGCCTGGTGTTTATTTTATTTTAATAACATATTTTGTTACTATTTAGTGTTTATTCCTAAGGACTGACAAATACTCTTGGACCACAAGCTGAGAGAGGGTTTCTTTAAACACCAGATATTCATCTCTCCTTCTCTAATGTCTTGCTTGGGCCCTGCTCTGTTCTCTGTGAAGTCCCCTCTAGTTGTTAAATTTATTCTAGAGTAAAGAGATGACACTATTTCTTGGTGGCCCTTTTAAAAAGAAAAGAAGAAAAAACACTTCCTCACTTAATCTCCCATATGTACTGTGGAAATATACGAAAAGCGCATTCAGTTAAAAGCTTGATTTATGGCACATGGTAAAGAGATTCCAGAAAGCAAGGAAGTGAATTTGAGACTGAAAATACATGTTAAAACAAAAAAATGCCTACCAGGATTTGGGAGTGGGAAAACAGTTGACTGGAGTGTTGGTGTTTATTGGTTAGAAGTAACTCATCATGAACAATGGACTGTGTTAAAATTAGTTAGAAAGGAAACTCCAGGATGAAAGTTTATAGGTAGGAATTGAAGAATATCTATAGGGAGATGATGATTTTGTGCAAAAGGAAAAAAAAAAGTGATAGTCTTATAGCACTGGAGAAGTAGCTGGATTTTGAAGGTGGGCCGTGGGAATTAGCTGGAGGGCGTGATTTGAGGGAAATGTGGTGTCCCACGGGGGCAGCGCTGCCAGGGTCACGCCAAGCCCTCGGTTCAGCCTTGCTCTCAAAGTAAACGGGAGTAAAGAGAAAGCCAGTTGTATTTACGGTCCCGGAGGGGATTTTAAAAGCATAGTAAAAACGTATGGAGGTAAAATTAAGATATACCACAGTAGATCGAATCCCGTAGTTTCTTATACTCTGGGCATTTTTTTTTTAAGCCTTTTTTTTCCTTTTGTGTTTTTACAAAAGTATTTTCCAGATTGTGCATTTAATCTGAATCTCTACACTTCACCTGAATAAAATTCCCATAAGGAACCCTTTTTGTAAACACAATTTTTTAATTTTATCTATAATGACAACCACAAAGTTTATAAAGATTTTCCATTTTATTTTTATTCTTATTTTTTGTAGGTTTTTCACTTTGAAAGCTTTCACTTTAAAATCGTGTTGAGCCACTGTTTGGGGAAAGTATGTTTACATTTGAACTTCTGCCTCGGTTTTGTGAGTGCAGATTCCTTTCAGGTCACAGGTTAGCGCAGAGTCAGCTTCAGACTGGATGTTAAGTGTTTCTGTTCTGAAGCAGCCCCCAGGCCAGGACTTCCTTACCTTCCAGCTTTCCTCCTGCCCTAGGACTGTCCCCTGGCTCCTGGCTTCTTTCTTTCTAGCTTGCTGGAGTCCTGGCCTGTGCTGGCTGTGAGGGGAGGCCTCGTCTTCCAAATCAGACCTTTCTGTTAAGACGTGTCTTGTTCTGCAGTCAGCCCTTGACATCTCTGGTTTTTCTTCCTCGCCCCACACCATTTGACAGTATCTTACACACAGAACTCCAAATGCTGCAAGCTATCCAGAGAGAAGTGCCATCATGTATGCCCTTGGATCCCATTTGACAGTATCTTACACACAGAACTCCAAATGCTGCAAGCTATCCAGAGAGAAGTGCCATCATGTATGCCCTTGGATCTGGGGCAGCAAATGATTCTAAAGGCACTGGGAAAAGAAACTGTAGTGTTGGTAGCAAATGTGAACTGAGTTGTCACTGAGTGCCAGGCTCAGCGCTAAGCACGTTACTGCTTTTTCCCCCGTGCCATCCCCACGTTGGAACTGTTCCTGTCCTGTTTGTAACAGAAGAGGAAACTTGGGCTGAGGAAGGTTGAGTGACTTCCCGAAGCTCACACAGTTAGCTAGTGTTGGAACTGGGGCTTGGACCCCGGGAAGCTGACCCCACAGCCTCACATGGGTGCAGTTGGTTGGATGTGGCCTGCCCGACGCAGGGTCTCCATCATACACAATTAACAGAGTAAGGGCAGCAGCCAGGGTTGGCTGCTCAGCTATGGATAGTCACTGCGGTACCCACATCAAAGGATGCAGAGATGCCACAAAACCCAGGCTGGTAGCGAAAGGAAAGACGAAAGCAACGATCTTGCAATTTTTAACACATTTGAGAAGTCGGTATGTTTCAAGCATATGCCCCCCATTCTCTTTTCCCTGGTTCATGCTTCAGTTCAGATTCTTATTATTCCAAAAAATATTTTTGTTAGAGAAAGTACTTCTAAAATGTAAAAGAAATACATATGCATGGTAATAAAATCCAAATGGTCTAGAAAGTTCTGAAATAAAACCTATTTTCTACCCCCTCTCCCAACCCCTAATCTCTCTCCCTAAAGGTGATCACTGCTAAGTCTCTTAGAAACTTTTAAAAATGCCTGTGTTGTCACACCTCACTGTGGGAAGGCTGCCTTCCCCACATCCTATTCTGTAAGCCTCGCTGATGAGTGCAGTGATCTGTGGGTCAAGGCACAGAAGCTCAGACAGGCCTCTGCCTGCTGGGTGTTAATGCCATTCAGAACTGTACCCCCCCACCTCCTGATTTCCCATCTGGTTCCCCCTCCTTTATTAATAGCAGCCTTCTGTGTCCCCCTGATAATGGAATCCTGTGAACTCTGATATCCAATGATGGGGGCTTACACTGCTAGCCGTGTAGAGAGTGTCCCGGCTGCAGAATCTGCTGGACCTCAGCCATTTGGGGCCTGTATTGTCTCATTGCTAGGCTGACTTTTACTAATTTGTCTGGAGCTT